CTTTCTTCTCTGGCCTAGCACTGCCAGGAAGGGGGCAGAAGCCTGCTGGGAGCAATGCACTTGTGCCTTGTCAGCTATCCCTGTGTGAGAAGCAGCAGCCTCTAGGCAACCCGTTGGTCCCACTGCCAGGATTGCAGGAGGCGGACATCAATGCATGTATCAGTTCATTTTCACACTGCTGATAAAAACATACCCAACACTTGGTAATTTATATAGGAAAATGGGGTTTAATGGACTTACAGTTCCATGTGGCTGGGGAGGCCTCACAATCATGGCAGAAGGCAAGGAAGAGCAAGTCATGTCTTATATGGATGGCAGCAGACAAAGAGAGAGCTTGTGCAGGGAAACTCCCCCATATAGAACCATCAGATCTCGTGAGACTTATTCATTATCACAAGAACAGCACGGGAAAAGATCTACCCCCATGATTCAGTTACCTCCAACCAGGTCCCTCCCACAACATGTGGGAATTCAAGATGAGATTTGGGTGGGGACATAGCCAAACCATATCAATGCATGAGCCTGAGGGTTCCTTGTCCTTGGCAGTGCGGGCAATGTGATTTTTTTCAGAAATCCTTTTTCTTTAGGTGCTACCTGTCAGGTGAGGGGGTTGAAAACCGGGGGCACCAGGACTCCTGTTTACCAGATGGAGCTGAGCTAACAAAGGAAGGTGAGGGAGGGGAAATTGCTACATGGATTCCGGCTGTTCACTTGAAGATGTGAGGCAAACGTGTCCTTCAATTGGCCTGGGAAAGAGGGCCAGCTCTGAGTGACACAGAGCACCCTTAGAGGGTAAATGATGGAAAAGGGCCCTATTGTGTCACTGCCTTGGTCATACTTTGGGTGAAAGCACATCGCCTTGGTGGATATGAGGACCTAGGGTCTTTCTCCCTATAACACAGGAACCCCTTAATGTTCATTGCCCTTGTCTTTATGGGATTTTCAGAGCTTTGAGCAATCTGGACAGGAGAGACAGTAGGAGAGTGGGACTTTCTGTGGATAGCATCACTAGAGACCTTATCCCAAACTGAAAACCTCAGAAACATTTGGCCTGTTCTCTTACTGGCTGTGTAAACTTTGGAAAGTTACTTAGTCCCTTTTGTGAGTCAGTTTCCTCACCTGAATGTGGAAATCCAATCTGCACCCACTTTATAGGATTATTAAGCCATTCTAATGAGATAATATATGTAAAAAGTTTAGAACAGTGCTTGGTTCAATGCAAGATCTTATTGAAAGTTTGCTATTGTTTTTATCATTATTGGTGTGATGTGGTGTGGTGTGTGTGTATGGTTGTGATAGCCAACACCAAGGACGTCATGGTCACTGCATAAAGAAAAAAAACTTAAATGTTTTGGATGGAGAAAATGGAAAGGGAGAAGTGACTTCCTTGGGATCCTCCATCCTGTTGGAAAGAGGAGGTAGTGGTTATCATATATAAGGAAGTATTCTAAAAACTACAAACTCACATTGCAGTACAATCCTAATCCCACATCATTATTAGACTGTTGGCTCAAAGTTCTTCTGGCTCAAGATTCTCAAGCATCAACTATGTATTGAGCTCTACAGGATACAGAGCTGGGGGCCTGGCACACTCATTCATCAATTCATTCATTCACTTAAACACTTGCTGAGCATCTATCAGGTGCCAGGCACTAGGAAAGGACACTGAAAGAGACAACAATATTTGTCCTTAGAGAACTTAGGTTCTAGTTGGTAGGTAGATAATAAACACATAAACAAATCATCCTATCATATACTATCATGTGATCAGCATATTAAAGAAGGCAGGATGAAGGGATAGCTATTACTGATAATGGGATGGTCTATGAAAGCTTTTCCAGAGGAGGTGATACTGAACACACTTGAATGAGTGGAATGAGAGTGTCAGAGGCAGATGAAGTGGGAAGGAGCGAGGCTTTGAGTTACAGCTGAGTGAAGCAGGCAAAGGAGATGAAGATTAGAGACACGGGCAGGGGCTGGGAAATAGGCAGGGTAAGGAGTTTAGATTTTATTCTGAGCATTATTGGAAGACATTGGAGTATTTGGACTGGAGAGAATGGCACAATGTGATGTATGCTTCAGAGTGTTCACTCTGACTGCTGTAAAGGTAGTAGATTATAGAATGTCCAAGGGTAGAAGCAGAAGCAGAAACCAGTTAGGATATCATCACACTAATCTAGGAAACAACCCCAGGAAATTTGGCCTAGATTGATAAGAGCAAAGATGTAAGACGTGAGGTTAAAGCTAAAAGAACTTACTTCTGTAACATGTGGGAGAAAGAGAAGAAGCCAGGATGACTATTAGGTTCTTGATCTGAGCAACCAGAGGAGTGGAGTTGTCCTTAACTGAGATGGGGAAGATTGGGAGAGGAACAGACTTGGCAGGGAAGTCTAGAGTCCTACTCTGAACTGCTTTGGTTGATCTGGACATACCAATTAGACAACTGAGTGGAGGTGTCTAAGTAGGCAGCTGGATAAGAGTCTGAAGTTCAAAGAGAGGTCAGGGGACAGAGATAAAGATTTGGGAGTTATGCTATATAGTATTAGGTAGGACCATTGAACTTGTCATTTTTTTTACAGGTGAAAAAGATTGATCATCAGATGTTTCTTATGAATCAACCTGATATTTAAATCCATGAAGGGGAGAGATGACAAAGCCAGGTGGAATAGATAGAGAAGAGGTCCAAGGTCTGAGCCCTACATTACTCAGAGTGTTAGAGATTAGGAAGAAGAGGAAGACCTGGCAAAAGAATGTCCTGCGATGTAGAAAGAAAACCAGAAGTTTGTGGTCTCTGGAAACCAGATAAAGAAAGGGCTTCCAGAAGGACAGACAAAGTGTAGTGTATCAAAGCTCCTGAGCAATCAGAGGAGAGCACCAAGGGGCTCACAGGACATTGGTATCCAGATCACCCAGTGACACTTCCTTTTTTTTTTTTTTTTTTTTTTTTTGAGACGGAGTCTCGCTCTGTCGCCCAGGCTGGAGTGCAGTGGCCGCATCTCAGCTCACTGCAAGCTCCGCCTCCCGGGTCTACGCCATTCTCCTGCCTCAGCCTCCCGAGTAGCTGGGACTACAGGCGCCCACCACCTCACCCAGCTAGTTTTTTGTATTTTTTTAGTAGAGACGGGGTTTCACCGTATTAGTCAGGCTGGTCTCGATCTCCTGACCTTGTGATCCGCCCGTCTCGGCCTCCCAAAATGCTGGGATTACAGGCTTGAGCCACCACGCCCGGCCGACACTTCCTGATCATGAGAAACTGTCAGACCAACAGGGGCACTTTCTGTAACCAGCGGTTCTTCATTGCCCAAATGCAACCTTGATGGTTTGATTTTGGAGGATGGCAATTCATTAATAGCACTCTGCAGTGATAAATATGAAAATCAATAAAACTCCCCACCCAAGGCAACCTCTCCCAGCTCCTCACTTTGAGTGAAGTGAGTAACCTCCATTTCTGCCAACTCCTGTCTTGTCTGAAGCCACATTTCCCCAGCAATGTCACATATGCATTTCTTGATCCTGGTCATTTCTCCTCTTGGAAGATGAATCATAAAGAAAACGAGATCTGTGTGCCCTGGTGACTATGGATGAAAGAGTCTGCTGCCCTGGAGGGAAGAGCTGGAAAAGAAGGAGATGGTGAAGGCGGGTTGGGAGGAAACAGTGGAAAAGGCACCTTTGCAGGGGATCAAGGTGGCAGAGTGATTAGTTACGTTGTTTGGACATGTGAGAACAGCGGGTTATAAAAATGGATACAGGAGGAGGGAGAGAAAGTAAGGACTAAAACATGAAGCCAGTCATGAATGTTTTTACATAAAAAGCAGCAGATTTACAGGCAAATATGTGATGTTTCCACATTTTCTGCCCCCAGTTAGCAGGTGCAGCACAAAGAGCGTTACTGTGGAGCTGAGCTTTGAGTAAAAGATTAACAGCCAGGCCTTTCTCTCCAGTGTCTGCTTCCTTCTGGGCTTGCCCTGGGGGTAAGGGAGGGCTGGCATGGATGTGCCTGCAGCCCTCACCCTGAACATTCTTCCACGCCTCTCTGTTCATTCATTGCTTAGTCATTCCTCAGGCATGGATTGAGCCTACTGTGTATCCAGCATCTACCTGGCATAGGATGGACATAGAGATGGGAAAGGCACAGGGAGCAGGTGACAGAGACAAATGAAGGTCATGGAGAATAGCAGAGTAGGACAGAAAATGAAGGCAGGGGATGGGGTTCTGGAGAAAGCAAGAGCGGGACTGACCCGTGTCTGCCTCACCTGCTACTGTTGTAGCCTCTTCTCCTTGGAGTATCCCTCCTGCTCTTGCATCACCTTAGGAACTTGGATCAGAGAGGAAAGTTACGGCCTGGATATGTTGTAGTAGGAAGGGACAGACACATTTGGAGACAGAAATGCTTGGGGAGCGGGTGTTTTTGGGGGATGAGACTTTCCGGGTCTCTCAATTCACACTATGTAGGTAGTTCACTGCACAGCTTAAACAAGAGACAACTCTCCGGAGTGGTTGGCTCTCATCCATAAAATGTGTTTTGGGCCTCAGATTTCCAAAGGAAGGGCTGAAGCATGACTCGCCTGATGTCAAGTACTGATGGCCACCTGCCCCTGCCCTATCAGGTGTGGAAATACTGGGGTTGCTCTCTCAGAACCTACTTCCTGAGATGTCAAAATATACCCAGGAGTATTTCTGGACCTTCTCCAATCCGAAATTGTTTGGGTTTTGTGTGTGTGTGCCTACTTGGCCTCACTAAGAGATGGAGGTGGCCTGGGTGAAATGCAGATTTCTAGAGGCTCTCTGATAAAGCTCAGGCCACCAGCCTCAGGCCAGCCTGTGGGTAGTCCTGGCTGACAGTCACTTCATACCTCACCTGGGCTTTTTGCCAAATTCAAAGTGTGTGTATGTGTGGAGTGCGGGGTTCCCACCACTGACAGTCTGTAAGTCATTCACTTAGCTTAATTTGTCTTACTTTCTTCTGAAATTTCTTCCTTCTTGTTTTTTTTTTTCCCCAGGAGAAGCAGTCCTAGGGCAGCCTCCGGGCCAGCTTTCCCTAATAAGAAGGCAGAGTTCCTCTTCACCCAGACTTCCGACCTATAGAGGTAGCCTGGGGTCCCAGGATGCCCTTGCACTCAGAGATGTCCCCAGAGTCCTAGGGGAATGGAGGATAACTAGGAGGAAGCTGTTCGTGGCTGCGGATGGGGTCTATACATTCTTCTCTATCTCAGTGCTGTCTGCTATTGAATTTTTGTGCAGATCACATTAATTTAAAGCCAGTTCTCAAGAAGCCCCCCCGGCATATCTACCAGTTGCTCCCCTTTCCTGCCATTAATCAGTGTCTGCTAATTAAACAACAAACTCCTGTTTGTCCAAACAGCTGCCAACATCCCCACCCCAAGGCAGTTAAATGAGGATAAATGAGTCAGTCTTATTAAAAAATGACTTAAATTTATCAAATTCTATTTATGTTTCTTTTACATCCCAATTTTCTGTAGATTTAGTGACTCCAAATGATAAGGTCTCAAGCTTATAATAATTTATCCCTTGAGTAACACAAGGCTTGGTGGTATTTCAGTAATATTCATGACAGCAGCAGTCGTGCTAACAAGGACTGATGTCACCAGAGCACGTTCTATGTGCCAAGCACGGTGCACAACACTTTACATGCATTATCTCATTTAATTTTCACAAAACCTCGCAGAGGTAAATATTATTATCTTCCTCTGCATAGAAGGAAATGAATGTTCAGAAAGATTAAGTCAACTCACTGATGTCCCATCGGTGGTCTTTCATAGGCCTCTGTTGCTGTCTCATTGAACTATTGAAATTAGAAAAACCTGGGGACCTTGTTAACCTACAGATTCCTGGGCCCCATCTTAGATGCAGGGAGTCAGAATTTCTGGGAGTGTGGCCCTGGAATTTTCGTTTGTAAACACATTCCCTAAGAGACTTGTATACACGCTAAAGTGGGAGAATTCACGGCCTCTGGCTTCTGTGATGTTTTAAACGCACTATATAATTTCAATAGCAAAAGAGTTGGGCTTTGGGAAGGGAGTGTGTGGTGAACCCTGAAAGCTGAATGGACTTCCTTCCTGTGGAGGAGCAGTGGGAAAAATTGGAGGCAGAGAGCTGTGTTTCAGTCCTTGATTGAGCTTATGTGAGTTATTTAATCTCTCTCAGTCTCTATTTTTTTTCATTTGTAAACCAGGAAGGATAATTTTATTTTCCAGGTGGTTGTGAGGTGTGAAAGAGATGAGAGTAGAATAAAGTTGAAAGAGTTGAAAGCCCTCAACAAATGTATGTGGTATCAATCATGGGTTTCCCTGGGGCTGAGGAAGCCACCGCAAGCCTGTGCACAATGCCAGCCACCTTGTATGGATACAGAGGAGGCAAAGGGACTAACAAACACTCCCAGAGACTGGATATCTTGAATATCTGTCCAACTTTCTTGGGAGGGGCCATTTCTTCTGTAACTCAAAGGAATTTCTTGTTTTTAAGCCAGGGAGGCATGCTTTCTATCTGCTGCTGGTACTCCCAGACCAAGCTGTTGCATGTGGGACTGAAGTGTGACTTCTGCCTCAGTTTCGTCCACCTGTGCAGGGAAGAGAAAAATGCCTGCACCTCCATGGTCATACCCTCTGTTGGATCCACCTCCTTAAGCCAGAATTATTGAATGTTCTCTATGTGCCAGAATGATTATTATTTCATTTGATTCTCACAATAATGCCGTGAAGTCTATACAGACATACCTTGGAAATATAGTGGGTTTGGTTCCAGACCACTGCAATAAAGCTAATGTCGCAATAAAACGGGTCGCACGAAGTTTTTGGATTAGGCTTTGGCTTAAGGGAATTTTGTGGCTGGTTTGATCTTTTATCCAGACCGCTAACACTTTCTCCCTATCAGCAATAGGGCTGTTTTGCTTTCTTATCATTCCTGTGTTCACTGGAGTAGCACTTTTAATTTCCTTCAAGAACTTTTCCTTTGCATTCATAACTTGGCTAACTGTTTGGCACAAGAGGCCTGCCTAGCTTTTGGCCTATCTAAGCTTTTGACTTGCCTTCCTCACTGAGCTTAATCATCTCTAGCCTTGGATTTCACGTGGAAAATGCGTGACTATACCTTTCACTTGAACACTTGGAAGCTATTGTAGGGTTATTAACTGGTCTTATTGTGTCTCAGGGAATAGGGAGGCCCAGAACGAGAGAGAGAGTGAGAGAAACGGGAAAACAGCAAGTCAGTGGAGCAGGCAGAACACACACATTTATTTATTAAGTTTGCTGTCGTATGTTCGTGCAGTTCATGGTGCCCCAAAACAATTACAATAATAAGATCAAAGATCCCCAGTCATAGATCGCCATAACAGACACAGTAATCGTGAAAAAGTTTGAGATATTGTGAGAATAACACAGGTATTGTGAGAAATATGACCTAGAGACACATGCTGTTGGAAAAATGGCACCAACAGACTTGCTTGATCCAGGGTTACACAAACCTTCAATTTGTAAAAAAACTGTAGTATCTGCAAAACGTAGTAATGTGTAATAAAATGCAGTCTGCCTGAACTTCAATTATTCCCATTTTATAGAAGAGGAAATAGATGCAGGGAGTTTGATCTGCCCGAACTAGTAAATGGTAGAACTCTGGGACTAACATTCCTATCCTCTATGCTACACTCCTAGGAAAGAACTCTCAGACAGGATTGGACTGACAGTGTGTTAAGCTTCGCGCTGTTCTGAGCCCTCTGAAGGAGTGTCCATATTTGAAAGCACCTCCTTCCTTTTGCTGGCCCTCCACAATGTGGCCTAAGTTATTCAATTAGGAAGGGAAATAATTGGCAGTGGAGAATGCCTCTAGCAGTGGTAATTACCTCCAGTGCCTTGTAGGAATAGTCAAGCTACATTTCAGTTTATGCTGTAAAACCTTAATTATAATATAAACAGCTGCCCTTCAGCCCAGTGGGGCAGCCTTCCCCCGCCTTCCTTCTCTGGCCTGGGAATGGCCCTGCCTCCTGAATGGTCAGGGAGGTCCAGGGGCGGAAGGAGACCTGGGAGGAGGGGAGCCAATGCCTGTGTGTGCGATGGGGTTTGGGAGATTAAGCTAGAGGGAGACACTGCCAGGGTCCCATCTTCAAATGATGAAGCCAAAGGCAGCATCCCCGTCTTGGTACCACTCACAGAGTCTCTTGGGGGAGCAGCCTCCGGCCGTTAGCAGTCAGCTCAGTGCCATTAGGCTAGGATAGGGTTTAGCAGGCTATGGTATCATTTCAGGGTAACATGTCTTTCCATTTAATACCCTGTGAGGGAGAACAGAGTTTTCCCTTCTAGATCCAGACTTCCTGGCCACGTAGGAGCCCTGTTGTGTGCCTGGTGCACTCTAGGTAGTATGCGAGGCATGGTCGCAAGGGTTCCCCACTTCAACTTCACAGCACTTGGATACACAGAAAATTAACATCCTCATTTTACTGTTGAGGAAAATGAGCCTTTGAAAGTTTAAATGGAGATAAGTCTTGGAAGACAGATAGATCTGTAAGCGACTTAAGTACAGGAAGGAGAAGGACACTCAATATTTTTGTTCAGAGCACTGGGAAGGAGAGAGAGGGATCAGTCACCATCGGGCATTTGAGAAGGTCCGGGAACAGAGGGCTGGTGATAAGGGAGAATAACATCAGAGGGGTTGAGATTGCTGATTGCTGGGTTCACAGATGTACCCATGACTGGCCCAGGTACCCCATGAGGGGCTGCTCTGTGCCACCTGACCACTGGATTGTAACCTGGGCTGAAAGAATCAGAAGTCAGTGTGCCGAGGCAGGAGTCCTCAGATGGTCAGGACTGACTCTTCCACTCTTAAGGGCAAAATGGAAAATGTGAGCTTGTTGGTAGTCTTCAAAATAGGGTGAGCAATCCATGCCCCTGAAGAGCAGGGATAATTATAGGCATGCCATTGTTTTATTGTGCTTTGCAGATATTGCATGTTTTTACAAATTGAAGATTTATGGCAACTCTGCATACAGCAAATCTGTGGATGCCATGTTTTTCTAATATCACACGCTCACTCTGTATCTCTGTCTCACATTTTGGTAGTTCTACCAATATTTCACACTTTATTATTATTATTATATCTGTTATGATGATCTGTGGTCAGGGATCTTTGAGGTTACTATTGTAGTTGTTTTGAGGTACCATGAATTGCACCCATATAAGACAGCAAACATAATCAATAAATGTTGTGTGTTCTGACTGCTCCACCAACCGACTGTTTCCCTGTCTCTTTCTGTCTCCTCTGGTTCCCCATTCCCTGAGGCACAACCATATTGAAATTAGGCCAAATAATAACCCTACAACGGCTTCTAAAGTTTCAAGTAAAAGGAAGAGTCACATCTCTTACTCTAAATCAAAAGCTAGAAATGATTAAGCTCAGTGAGGAAGGCATGTGGAAAGCTGAGACTGGCTAAAAGCTAGGCCTCTTGCGCCAGTTACAGAAGTTGTGAATGCAAAGGAAAAGTTCTTGAGGGAAATTAAAAGTGCTACTCCAGTGAACACAGGACTGATAAGAAAGCAAAACAGCCTTTTGCTGATAGGGAGAAAGTTAGAGTGGTCTGGATAAAAGATCAAACCAGCCACAACATTCCCTTAAAGTCAAAGCCTAATCCAGAAAATTGGTGGGACTCACTTTATTATGATACTTGCTTTATTGAGGTGATCTGGAAACAAACCCACTATGTTTCCGAGGTAGATCTATACTGAACTCCTATTTTTAAATTTGTTTTCAATTTCAGTTTCTAAGTTCTACATGTTTCATAATGGTCATATGCACAATAGGACATTTTTCTAATCCATACACAAATATATGTTCCGGAATGTTTTACAACTTGGGGTGCATAACTAAAATGTTTGGAGTCCACTGGGATAGAAGCCAATGATTACATGAATTTCTAGTTTGTTTTGTTTATTAACTATGCTCAACAGGTAGTGGCTTGTATTAGTCCATTCTCACACTGTGTTGAAGAAACTGAGAAAAAGGTTTAATTGACTCACAGTTCCACATGGCTGAGAAGGCCTCAGGAAACTTACAATCATGGTGGAAGGGGAAGTAAACACATCCTTCTTCACAAGGTGGCAGGAGAAAGAAGTGCCAAGCAAAGGGAAAAAAGCCCCTTATAAAACCATCAGATCTTATGAGAACTCACTCACTATCACAAGAACAGCATGGGGGTAACTGCCCCCATGATTCAATCACCTCCCACTGGCTCCCTCCCATGACACGTGGAGATTATGGGAACTAAAATTCAAGATGAGATTTGGGTGGAGACACAGCCAAACCGTATCATGGCTCAATGTTAATAACTTGGAGTAATAAGAATTATTACTCATGGAGAAACTGAGTTTGCTGTCTCATTCAATCTTGCAGAAACAAGGTAAAGTCATGTCCACAGCATGGACTCTGAAGCTGGACTCCCTGGATCCAAATCCTTGCTCTGTCATCTATTAGCCTTGTGACTTGGAATAAGTTTCTCAGCCTTTCTGTGCCTTCATGTCTTCATCTGGAGAATGAAGCTCACAGATTCTAGTCTACGTCATAAAGTACATATGAGGATTACATGAGTTAATACATGTAAAGCCCTTATAATAGTGCTTGGTCCTGAATAACCATTCAGTGAATAGTTAGTGACATGGATTTTACAGATAAGAAGATGGAGCTTCAGGGAGGTGAGTGGAGGAACTGGCATTCTGGCTGATTCCAAAGCCTATGTGTTGGGATCCACAATGTAAACCATTCTAAGTCCTTACCAACAACCAGATGGACCCAAGAAAGCATATCTGCTTCTCCTTTAATCACCTATGATTCTAACTCTCCTTGCTATACCCACCGTATCCATTTCCCAGTCAGAACAGAGAAAAGGACATCCGCACAGCTTTTTCTCAGTTGAATGATGCTCAGCAAGTTGGCCCTTTCTGCCCTCATTCCAACAGGTTTACTGCTCTCGTTGGTCATTTAGGCTTCCCCAAGCCCCTCAGGTTGTCCCTGCTCCAAGAAAGAATTCTACAGCCTCCTGGAGTTGTAGACAGGGCAGGCAGGAATATTGCAGAGCAGAAGGTGCTGCAAAGGACTCAAGTAGCAAAGGATACATGTCAGCTAGACACACTGGGGAAGCTGTCTGTCCTGAAGACATGGAATTGGAACTCACATCACTGCCTCTGCTGTCTGGTTTTCCTTGACAGTCCTTGAGTATGGCATCCACGTGTTCTAATTCTGTATAAAACCAAGAAGCAAGATATATTTGCTCTAAAGACCTTAAACTCTGTGTGAGTTTTAGCAGTTTAATAGGCATCTCAGGTCTCTCTAGTCCCAGCTTCCTGCTCCGAGAGCAGTGGTTGGGTGAGATTTAGGCTCATACAATCTATGAAAAACTTCAGATTCAGGGATTTGATGGTGAGAAGTGCTAATCACTATGAGGAGAGTAGGAAACCATAGTGATCTGGGCGTCCTTTGCTATGGACTCCCAGAGAAGAGCTTGCTGGCAGCAGCCTCCCCCCGCCACACCCGCTCCACTCATACAGATTAGGTCCCTGCTCCCCCACTTCCAAGGCCATCTATCGCTCTATCTCCAATGAGCACCACAGAACAGATTCTCCACCCTCCTTCCCCTGAAGAACACAGCTTTTGGGAGTTTTCTAAAGGTTTTTAATGTTAGTAGCAGAAAGAAACTAACAGTAAATAAAATTTTCAGACAAAAACGGAAATTTGCAGTGTTTCAAGACACTTTAAACGATGCACTTGAAATGAGAGGCTTGCATTAGGATGGAAATTAACGTCCTTGAGTGGCTTTTTATTTTTTATTTCATGTTAACCTGACTACAACTTTCTCATCTTCATGTGTTTCCTAGAAGTTCTTTAACGCAAAGCTGAAGGATGAAGCCCAGGGTGACTCAACAGGCTGGGTTGGCTCCATCTCGTCAGTTATCTCTTGGTGGGCATCAAGACAAGGGAGAGATGACTAAAATAATGGTGCTTTAAGACATCTTCAGCTGAGATCATGCCATTGCACTCCAGCCTGGGTAACAGCGGGAGACAGAGCCTCGCTCTGTTGCCCAGGCTGGAGTGCAGTGGTGTGATCTCGGCTCGCTGCAACCTCTGCCTCCCAGGTTCAAGCGATTCTCCTGCCTCAGCCTCCCGAGTAGCTGGGACTACAGACACGTGCCACCACACCCAGCAAATTTTTGCATTTTTAGTAGAGACGGGGTTTCACCATGTTGGCCAGGGTTGTCTCTATCTCTTGACCTCTTGATCTGTTCACCTCGGCCTCCCAAAGTGCTGGGATTACAGACTTGAGCCACTGCGCCCGGCCAACATCTTTAGCCAATAAAAAATTGCTTACAGAATTATAAAGCCTCTCTTCATGTCAGTTTTCTTAACCTCCTCAACTCAACTGTCCAATGATGGGTTTACAAGCCCTTCAGGACTGCTGTGTTAAGTAAGAGGAATTTAGCTCCCCACATTCAGTGGGAGCTAAATATCCAGGGCCAGGCATAGGAAGAGGAGCTACCTATCAGGTCTTTCACAGAAGCCAGTCCCTAAAGTAGAGAGAATAGTTCCCTCAAGGCTTGCTCTGTGGATCGCCTTACACGAGTTGGTTCATATTTATAAGCCAATTTGTCTGGAATAAATCTCTTTAACACGCGCAACTAACTCCTCAAGGTGTGTCCAATGGGAACCAGTCTTCCTAAATGAACTGTCTATAAAAGGGCTTTAACAACAGCACTGTCAATCCTGGAATTCCCACCTGAAGAAAAAAAAAATTCATAGGCTGCTCGGGCGCATAGAATACACAGAATTTAAGAAATTGCTAAATTAAATCAAGACACCTAAAAAAACTTTTTTCATACACTGTGTTGAGGAGATGGCTATGGAAAGAAACAGACTTTTGCTTACAATCCTGAAGCTCAGTAATAGTGCATCTGACCTGAGACTAACTCAGACAGTAGTTGGCTTTCTCTCTGCCACAGTTTCTTCCCATACTACCAAAAAAGAGGACATGGAATCTTGAACATGTGAAGCCCATCTTCCTTCTTTCCTTCTTTCCTTCCTTTCTTCCTTCGTTTCTTCCTTTCTTTTTTCTTTCCTTTTCCCTCCCTCCTTTTCCTTCACTTCTCCCTCTCTCCCTCTTTTCTTTCCTTTCTTTTTTCTCAATTTCTTGAGGGTAAAGAAGGGCATCTCACAAAAGTTAAAGTGAAGCTTTAGAAGACTGTTTTTTGTTTGTTTGTTTTTTCTAAGAAATTGTATACTACTTTATCTCAAAAATAGAGGTGTTTTATTACATATCTTTATTGAGATGTAATTAACACACAATAAAACTATCTAATTTACAAAGTTGTTTGGAGTCAATAATTAAATAAGATTAAATAAAAGAATATATATGAAGGTATCTCACACAATGCTCAGTGGTTGAATTTCGATATGACATAACTGTTTATACCACCCTTGTGTTAAAAACCCTCAATGGCTTCTAATTTCCTACAGAGCAGTCTAAAGTCTAAAACACAAAAACTTAAGGTTCTTAATAATTCAACCCCATCGTTCTGGTCTTGTGTGCTGCCACATTCTCTTACAAACCCAACTTAGCAGAAATACTGGATGACAGGGAACTTTCCTGTCTCCAGAATTTTTTATGCTGCCCCATTTCTGCCCATCGAGGCTCTTCCTTTCCTTTAAGGTCAGAAGCCAACTCCTTCATTAATCCTCCTGGAAGACAACTCCTGATCATTCCCGATGGTTATTAATGTCCTTTTCCTACAGCCTATCCCATTATACTGCATTGTTTCTAAGATCTTTGCCACATTCTGCTTTGTGCTACTTATCATGAGAAGCTCCTTTCTTTCATTTAATTTTGATGAACATTCATTGAGCCTCTATAATACCTGGGCAGTGAAGTAGGCATGGGGATGGGCTGGGCAGAGGTGCAGAGATAGATGACATACTGTGTGCTCTGGAAAAGCCCATGTCCTGGTGAGAAGCATGGAGGTTGCAAGCCCTGCCACATTCGATTCTGTATCTTTAGTAGTGTCTAAAATGCCCCATGCAGAGCAGATACAGATGTTGAATAAAATCAGTATTAAAGGTGAAAAATATCAGAATGTTAAATGTAATTGCCTCATTCTAGCAAAAGAGGAAATTAAGGCTCAGGAAGATTAAATAACATGCTCAAGATTGCCAGTGACTCTGGAGTTGTAAGTAGAGTGCTATAAATAAC